GTTTTAATTTGATTGTTAATTTGGACCATTTAAACTTAAAAAAAAGTAATCGAAAAAAAAAATCTGGCCAAAATTTTTCATATTTGGTCTATTATTACAGAGAATTGATGTTTAAAACTACTTACAAGAAGTTAAACAGTAGGCGTGAGCTCATGTGACACTTAATAATGGTTAACACTAAAGACCAGCTGAACGTAAACCTGCACGTGAACCTAAAAGATCTGAACATGTACGAATTTTTAATAAAATTTATTGTCCAACGGATTTTCTTCGAATATGAGTTTTATCAAAGGTCAAACTAACATCTTGGTTTAATAAGGTATAACGCATGTACAAAATTTTTCAAGTAGGCCTAATACAAAAATATAGGCGGAGGGCGCGTAACTTGAATAAAACGTCAGTGTTGAATTGACCAGTAAACTAATTCAAATGACAAGGAAATATAAAATTTGCCAGTATTGAGCAGATTCTTCTATCAACCAAGCAGAGGATATTAAAATACGAACGATAAACTATGCATACAAACAGATAACGAGTAGGCAAACCTTAGCTGTGCACTATCTCGATTCAGATAGCAGAGTAAGAACAAAGAGAACGTATACGTGTAAGCCGGTAAAAAAATCACCGTTCAGGTCACACGCAGTTGTCTATGATTTTTTTTACCTTTATACTTTTTAACTACCTCAGATATACTGCACACTTCGAATGTACTCTTACCGTACAATTACGACATATAGGTCGAAAATATGAAATAAAATAAAAGCTGTAAAAGTGTTAGGGACAGGCGAAAGGCGTCTTCCTCAGTGTAACTGAGAACTTTTTTGTACAATGTAAATCTTAAATCAGTGTATATAGTTTTATACTCAATGGAATTTATTACGACTTTTACAATTCTTTAATAGTCCTTTTTAGTGACTATTTCTTGACCGAATTCAATGATGCTCATATTTTAAGTATGTGCCTTTAATAAACTAAGGCATAAAACAGGTAAAATAGATGAGAACCAGATCGATATACTTCGTTCAGAATGAAGTAAAAGACCTACTGAGAACGGATTATCTTCATCTGCCTTTACATAATATCAAAAATAAGTCATGTACATTCTCCAATACACCTTTCCTGTATGAAACCTTGCTGTGTTACACTAAAAAAGTTTAATTCTATTTGCTAAAGTAGCTGATGCAACTTTTGTATCAACATTTAATAAAGTGATTGGTCTCCATTTTTCAACTGAAATTTTGACTTGCCATCTTTTGGTATACAGGTTATTAATCCCTGCTTCTGACTATCAGAAAAAGCTCCCAAGCCATAATTTAAATATTTAAAAAAATCATGATAGTCTATTAAAAAGAATTTACAATATTCCTTTCATCCCTGGAGATTTCCCATCTTTCATACTTTTCAATGTATTTTTAACATTCATTAACATTCAAACTACTTTCTGTCTGTTTCCGTTGTTCATTAGAGAGTTTGCGAATGAAAGGACTATTTTCATCAACAAATAAGATTTTTATTCTCGTGAATTAAAATAAGATTTGTTGATGAGTACAATTTTTCATAAAATGAATTTTTTATTTAACAACTTTCATGTTGAATAAGAATTCTATCCCCATTTTTCCTTAATTAATTTTGGAATTATTTTCTCATTATAATGTTTTTTTCGAGAATACAAAAATAGTTTGTACATTTTCCACCTTCTGCTACCCATCATTCCTTTACTCTTGCTATTATACCTGTTACCTTTTTCTCTCAAAGTTTTAACAAGTTCGTCTTCCAAAATACCAATTTCTGTTTTTATAAATTCTGAGGGGGATCTGGTTCATAATTTTCGCGTAATTTATTTAACTTACTTTCTAGATCATTTTCAGTGTTTGTGTTTTTCTTTTCTTTTTTATATAACTGGCATATGGTATTGTTTTATCATACATTTTAAGAGTTCCCAAAATACGTGTATGTTTACTAATAATTCAGTTTCTAGTTCAGTTCCAGGCAGAGGGTATTGATTTATTGCTATATTTTACTTTAGTTGTATAGACCATAGTACTCACTGTGACTTTGAAATGAAGAACAGCAATAAAAGCGCTGTTCCTTTGCTTATTGTGTGTTATTTTGCTGTGCATGTACTGATTTTGTGTCTTGGATTGATACCCCAATCCTTTGTTTTTGTCTAGCCTGCGAAATTTTTTTCGCGAAAGCAAGACATAGCGATCCTAGATTCCGTCGTCGGCGGCGGCGGCGTCGGCGGCGTCAACATTTAGCTTCAGTCTGTGGTTAAAGTTTATTTAGGACATCAATAACTTTGTCAAACCTACATGGCATTAGATAAAATTTGGACAGAAGCTTGTTTATGACCAAAATACAGTATCCAGAGCAATATTTGAAAATATTTATTTTCATTTTTCTGTATTTTACTGATAAATGGACTTAGTTTTGTTTACAGTTAACATTCATATTCAGTCTAAGGTTAAAGTTTTTCAGTTACCAATAACTTTGTCAAACCTTCATGGAATTTGATGAAATTTGGACAGAAGCTTGTTTCATGATGACCAAAATACAGTATCTAGAGCAAAATTTGAAAATATCTATTTTCATTTTTCGGTATTTTACTGATAAAATGGACTTATTTTTTTAACATTTAACTAATAGATACAATCTGGGGTTAAAGTTTATTACACATCAATAACTTTGTCAAACCTTCATAGACTTTAATGAAATTTTTTTAGGATTAAGAGATAATGTCTGAGCACACTTTTGAAAATATTTTTTCATTTTCAGTATTTTTCTGATATATGGATTTTTTTTACAGTTAACATTTACTGACAGTCTGGGAATACATTTATTTTGACATGATAAGTTTGTTAACCTTCATGGATTGTTATGAAACTTGAACAGAAGCTAATCTTCAAAACCAAGAAATAGCATCTAAAGAGAAAGTTTGAATCTTTTTTAACATTCTGTATTTTACTGATAAATGGACTCACTTTTTAATATGATGGGAAATTGAATATGAAGTTTAAAAGCACAATATCATAAATATTTGACTGAGACATAAAAGTTATATTGGAATCGAATTTACGTACACGATTGTCGTTTTTAATAGACAAGCAACTTAGACAAATAAAGCATCCCCTTTTCTGGAGATAACACAACTTCATTACAAACAATGCTGTTTTAGAAATTTGTCCATACATTTCTATTGGAGATAGACCATGGATTTTATAAATGTGTAATATCCCCAATTCTGGACTGCTGAATTTACTAAGTCTTCGAGTTGCTTATAGATTGAGTTCAAACCATGCAAACAATTTAAGCATAGTACTACTTAGACAACTTTGATAACAATTATCTTACAGCAAAATACATGATATATAATGGAGATACAATTCTATAAAACTATTTTCTCTGAACTATCTAGATGAAGAAGCCATTATAATCTAATGGAAGTGTGGATATAGAACAGTGTAGTTCTGACAAACACTCGTAGAGTGTATAAATCTTGTATTATAGTTGTAGAGGGAGGTAGACAATTGCACTTGGATATCAAATATCCAGCCATATCTCCATTTTTATCAAAAATGGAAATATAACACTTTAAGATTCATACGACGCCATTTCTACGTTTTTCACAAATGGCTCAAAGTCAGTATAGATATCAAACGACTATAACGAATGCCACAGTTCGTAATCTTCAATAATATGAAGCTGATACTGTATATATCTGGGAGAGGAGACTTTGTTTTAGCCCTGGTCCACGCAATGTAAATATTTTAATATCATGATTTAAAACTCTCCATATATCTATAAACTGTGATGTGTCGGAATCATTTTATAAATGATTTCAAATTCAATTTACAGAAAAGAATGCCACGTTTTACAATATTGAAGTGTATAAGAGAGGCAAAAGATACCAAAGTGAGATATTCAAACTCATAAGTTGAAGATCAACTGACAACGCCATGGCAAAAACGAAAAACGACCAACAAACAAACAACAGTCTACAAAATACAACAAAACAAACTATTAAGATCATCTAGTGAACGAGACTATGAAGAGAAAAAAGTAATAACTAAGCAAGTGGTCGCAAAGGTGTGTACTCATATTTCATGAAATAGAAAAGGACATGTTTAAACATTGTGGTAAGTGGATAACTTAGAAATACCCGAATTTATATGATTTATTTTCCGGAATAACAAATAACTTTTGAAAGAATGAACGCTGTGATAAATTAAAAAGATTGATCACGTTTAAAGATTTAGTAGTGGATTCACAGACGACATTAGTACGTTGGGACACTAGTGGCTCAAAATACTTTATTTTGTTGGTCCAACGTTGTTTATAAACGTTGTCTTAAAATGTATGAGTACAAATTGGGCTGATATTGGCACAACATGATGACTCAACGTTAGGTGGTATATGCAATACATGTATGGGTTAAACGTAATCCCGATGTTTGAATAACACATCGCATGTTAGAATGATATTGGGCCATAACAGTAATTTAAAACTGTTAATTTGGCGCTACTCTGGTTCAATGTATAAACAGTTAAAATCATATGACGGCTGCTTCCTGAGGACCAGGATGTCAAACTATTCGGAGCAACAACTGACTACAGTACTGGTTTTTATATTAGTTCGATTTGGCACAGCTATAGTTTTTGTATACTATCCATTGTATTCACTATGTTGTTCTTACATCATGCCCTCAATTTGGACTTTTTTGTATTCTGCCTCTTTATTGTTATGTACTATTACTTGATGCTAAATGTTTTTCTGTTGGATATTGACAAACATTTGATCAGTATTTTAATACCATGCTGCCTATTTTCCTGCAACGATAGACAAGTATAAATATAAATAATTTATAATTAGTCAAGACAACAACCCAAAATTTAAAAACAGAAACCGAAAGTTTTAGAGTTTTATTGTTATAATTGGTCTGTATATATTCACGATCTATAATGAAAAAGGAATGATTCCGTTCATGATGATCAATTTACTCACGTCTGCATGATACTGAATATTTCAGTTTCCAATTTAATATATCCATCCTTGTCTGACCTATTTCTTTCCTTCCACCTTTTCCGTCGACAGTGAATCAGAATCAGTCTTTGGTTGAAACGTCAACTCTGTACACCATATCTTCATAAACGTTTTCACTGCTCCTGTAATAAATGTTAAAAGTTACACTCCATCCGGGAATTTATACCATGCATATTGTATACGATAAGAAAAACAAAAATCTTGTTAATACTTAATACGAATCCAATTCTAAATAAACTTACATATTGATAATGAACATTTGGCTTTTTCCATCATATACATCTTGTTCGATGAAATTTTATTATGATATACTTTAGGCAAAGATGTTTATTGGAGATGAAATTGACAGAAGATCAAGAGTTGTGAATTAAAGACTGCTACATGTATCAAGGAGAAATCTGAAAAGAAACGATAAAAGCAATAAGGAAGAGGAAACTTAGAGCAAATGACTAGAACGTCGATGTGGTAACTGCTCCAGATTCTGAGGTAGCCGAGACAGAAATACAAGCTATTCCTTGCACTCGGTAAGTTACTCACCAAGGGCACATAAACACACACCTTCGAAAGGTGGCCTCAATCTCGAGCACAAAATAAGATCCTCAATAATACATGGCTTTGAACAAACATCATTAATACATGTACCGACATCATACAAAAACAGATTCCTGGTATTTCTGGCTTTCAGGTAACTAAGCAAATACATATAGTTGAACCCAAGACTTTGGAACATTTCAGTTAAATATGCGTCATGCAGGAAAGTACCTCATACATGAAAATCGCACGGGGTTTACGTCACTACAGCTAAAAACGACACAACATTTCACCTTTAAGACCGTCTAAACTCTAAGCACACTTTAACACCAAGCATGGAAATACAGTTAATTGGCTGCAATATATGGGCATCAGAGGAAGAGCTTAAACGTGAAAATACCAGAAGTACAACACCAATAATGACTGTAAATAATACGCTCTGGCTAAGTTAAAGGAATTTTGTGTGAATTAAGAATTTAACTCACATTTGAAGATACATAATGAAGAACAATCGATGAGAACTCATCATGTGCGTTGCTTATAACAAATTTCCTAAGATATTAGATATGTCTCCTGAAATTGTTGTGAAATCACACCAGAGAATCACCCATTATTCTATTACCAGTGTTTGTATTTTGGGGACTCACCTCCTCCAACTGCTAATTTATTCTAAATTTAGTGTAACATGACATCTTGATGTCCTACATCGTAATAAGACCTAAATATCAACGACCTTTATTATAAGAATACATTCGCATTCCTGTTTCGATACATAACAATCCCATTTAACACTAATATAAGTGAATGTCCTATTTTATTAACTTCTAATATCAAGAGGCTGAATTTCTATTGCATATTACTTTAAAAAAAAAAACTGCTGTAGATAAGATATAATGTGATAATCGCTAGGCCCATGCTTTTTTGTTGGTTTATTACCCATTTGTTCCAAGAGGCTGAATTTGTTTTTCTGTCAGTCAATTCGTGATGTTGACCGTAAAACTTGTATATTGTCGATTTTAGTCGTTTGTTTTTATGACTTTGTCCTCTTGTCTCAGATTCCAAATTTAAAGTAACATGACATCCTGATGTAGGACCTACATCTTAATCAACCTAGATATAAAGTTGAAGGATTTGGCTGTTTATTTAGGCCCCTTTTGGCCATATAGCTCTTCACATGTTTCTGTACTTATATATCAGTGGCGTTCCAATATTGATACTTGCTTGTTGATTAACTATGTTCACTTGTTTTTGTAAATATATCTTTTGATTGAGTTAAGCCATTTCATTTGATATTTTATAGTGTGTCTTTTAATGTTGTGATGTTACTCTATCGTTTCAGGTAGGTGAAGGTTGGCGCCTATTAAAACGTTTAAACCCGCTGCATTTATTTGCACCTGTCCTAAGTCAGGAACCTGATGTTCAGTGGTTATCGTTTGTTGATGTGGTTCATAAGTGTTTCTCGTTTTTTATATAGATTAGACCGTTGGTTTTCCTATTTGAATGGTTTTACACTAGTAATTTTTTGGGCTCTTTATAGCTTGCTGTTCGGTGTGAGCCAAGGCTCCGTGTTGAAGGCCGTTCTTTGACCTATAATGGTTTACTTTTACAAATTGTGACTTGGATGGAGAGTTGTCTCATTGTCACTCATACCACATCTTCTTATATCTAACCAATAATTCCAAAAGTCTGAACTTCTATTGCACATTATCTAATGGACTGTTGTAGGTAGATATTTATCAATTATGGACTTTTGACGAGGACAATACGTTATATATGGACCTGTTCAGATTATATTGACCGAGGACGAAGCCCGAGTGTCAATATAATCTAACAGGTCCATATACAACGTATTGACTGAGTGAAAATCCTTAATTTATATATTACATATGTAAATAATGTATTAGGAAAATGGCGTTCAATGTTCTTTCTGTGTATTTTTAAAATGTATTTTGCAAGAATTTTAACATGTAATTCAAAATATCAATATTCTTTGAACAACTTCATAGCTTGTTGCGTTAGCTTTCTTGTATTCTTAGCGTCTGTATTTAACATAAAATTCTTGATATCTCCTTCTGATAAACTTGCAACCTTTCTTTTCGTCCTCGGCGCTTCCTTTATGGTTGTTATTTGTGACGTCATGACGTCATAAATCTAAATTTATAGCAAGATTTTTTATATTGACCGTCAATATACATATAAATATAGATTCTACCACTGCATCGAGTGTGATACGATATTTATCCACTCGAGACAGTTAAATTTTCAAATTTAAAACGCGAGGCTCGCCCAGCGTTTTAAATATTTAAAATTTAACTGTCGAGAGTGGATAAATATCGTATTACACGAGATTTGGTGGTGGAATCTGTTTCTCTAATGATTTTCAAACAATACGCAGGCAAATTTATTCCTTCTTTTCGAATGATCTGCAAATAGATGTGTTCTTTCTATGTGACGTCATCAAGCATGGTCGCCTTTTTTCATGTCGTCACAATAGGAAATTCAGAGGAAAGCAAGAAAATTCGACGTCATCATCGGATTTTAACCAATGAAGAACTGAGATCAAACGAACCACACGTTGATTAAATTTTGTTTATACAATGGGTGCAGAAAGGGATAAATTGACGAAGAATTAGAGAAATAGAAATATAGCGTCAATATACTTAAAAATAGAATCAAGGCTTCGGATACACAAAATAACCTTTGAAACACGTGATCATAATATCCAATGAAAACAGGAGAATGCTACACCATATGTAATATAATACAATAAGCGCTAGATGAATGCCCATTTGTTTGCTTACATAGAACTAATTTAAAAAGGACGAATTTATGTTGCATATATTACTTTTAAAATTGACTGTATTAGGTGGACATATTTATCACCACATGAATGCCATTGTGTTAGTTTACTAACCACTCATTCCAAACGACTGAATTTCTATTACATATTACTTAAAAGACTGCTGTATGAAGATATAATTCGCTATATAAGATATAAGCGTTATGTGAATGCCGTTTTGTTGATTTACGACTAATTCAAGAAGTTTGAATTTCTGTTGCGCATTATCTTATTGAATATTGTAGATAAATATAACACGATAATCGCTAGGTGAATGTCGATTTGTTTGTTTACTAATCACTCATTCCATATTGTAGACAAATATAACACGATAATCGCTTGGTGAATGTCGATTTGTTTGTTTACTAATCACTATAATTCCATATTGTAGATAAATATAACACGATAATCGCTAGGTGAATGTCGATTTTATGTTTACTAATCACTCATTCCATATTGTAGATAAATACAACACGATAATCGCTAGGTGAATGTCGATTTGTTTGTTTACTAATCACTAATTCCATATTGTAGGTAGATATAATACGATAATCACTAGGTGGATGTCGATTTGTTCGTTTACTAATCACTAATTCCATATTGTAGATAAATATGACACGATAATCACTAGGCGAATGTCGATTTGTTCGTTTACTTATCACTAATTACATATTGTAGATAAATATAACGCGATATTCAATAGGTGAATGTCGATTTGTTTGTTTACTAATCACTAATTCCATATTGTAGATAAATATAAGATGATAATCGCTAGGTGAATTTCGATTTGTTTGTTTACTACACTAATTCCATATTGCAGATAAATATAACACGATAATCGCTAGGTGAATGTCGATTTGTTCGTTTACTAATCACTAATTCCATATTGTAGATAAATATGACACGATAATCACTAGGTGAATGTCGATTTGTTCGTTTACTAATCACTAATTACATATTGTAGATAAATATAACACGATAATCGATAGGTGAATGTCGATTTGTTTGTTTCCTAATCACTAATTCCATATTGTAGATAAATATAACACGATAATCGCTAGGTATATGTCGATTAGTTTGTTTACTAATCACTAATTCCATATTGTAGGTAGATATAATACGATAATCGCTAGGCGAATGTCGATTTGTTTGTTTACTAATCACTAATTCCATATTGTAGATAAATATAACACGATAATATCTAGGTGAATGTCGATTTGTTCGTTTACTAATCACTAATTCCATATTGTAGATAAATATGACACGATAGTCACTAGGTGAATGTCGATTTGTTCGTTTACTTATCACTATATCCATATTGTAGATAGATATAACACGATAATCGATAGGTGAATGTCGATTTGTTTGTTTACTAATCACTAATTCCATATTGTAGATAAATATAACACGATAATCGCTAGGTATATGTCGATTAGTTTGTTTACTCATCACTAATTCCATATTGTAGGTAGATATAATACGATAATCGCTAGGTGAATGTCGATTTGTTTGTTTACTAATCACTAATTCCATATTGTAGGTAGATATAATGTCACCAACACTAGGTGAAGGTAAGTTTAGAAATCGCGCATTTCAAGTGACTGTATTTTTTATTTCATATTATTTTATGACTACTCCAGATAGATATGCATTGTAAATAAACTCATCATAGATACCAGGCTTAAAATTTTTGAACTTTCACCTGAGCACCAATGAGGTTTAGGCACCATCTTGGATCTGATCTTTGTTTCCTAAAAAGGAATGATATTTTTTTTTTAATTTGGTAATTTTAAGATTTAACTTCTGCGATTTTTCTCTTGTTTCTACTGAAATTCATTTGTTTCTCATTTACATATGAAAATCATTATCATTATCAGTGTTTGTAACTTTATCAGAGTGTTAATTGTTGAAATTTAATAGTAGGCGGTCATCTTTTTTTCTAAATCGTATTTTGTTCTAATATCTTTGACCTCATATGAAGGAGTGTGTTCGTATTTCCAATGTTTATTTCTTCTAATACAACGACCTATAATTACTATTAAGCTATTATATCCAGAAACATAAATAAATAACAGTACAATCCAGTTGTGTGTTACATGAATGTCCCTTTTTGGTTTATAAACCACACATTTTATGGAGTCTCTCTTATATATCTCTTATGACTCTTATTTAAAGACTTTTTTATGTGGCTAACATTTCATTTAAGTAATAATGTATTAATTGCTAATTCGGTAAAGTTTACTCAAGACTTAAATATTTGACCATTCGTGTGAAAAAGATATTATGAGATCTAACATGAGGGAAATTACTTTTGCACAATAATTTTACTGAGAGGAAATTTTACTGGATGTTACTGCAAATGAACCAATTTATACTATTACTTCCGGAGCACACGGAATCACCCCCAGTTTTTGGTGGGGTTCGTGTTGCTCAGTCTTTAGTTTTCTTTGTTGTGTTTTGTGTACTGTTGTTTTGTCTGTTTGTCTTTACTTTTTTTAGCCTTGGCGTTGTCAGTTTATTTTTGACTTATGAGTTTTAATGTCCCTTTGGTATCTTTCGCCTCTACTTTAAATATGTTTTAAGAAAAAAGAAATGAATACACTTTTTCGATTCATTCCACAGCTCTATTTTTGATAAATCTTAACATGGCCCATTAACTGTAAATTGAACTAAATTTATCTAATTACTTGAAATAATATTCTGCGTAAAGCAAAGGCAAACATATATATTTTGATTTTAATTCTTTTCATTTATGAGCGTTACTTTTTTGTAAATCTTGACTTGTGAACAACTGAAAGCACTCAGGAGGATTTTTTCTGACGGAATATTTTATCACCTTTTGCGAGTCTCGATTATTTGTTTTTCATTCTTTTGCAAGAATTTTTTTTTTTGTACACATTTATTTCCGGCATTTTGCTCGACACAAACAGGAGAGGCAATTCTTTCAGATCTTGCCACGCCCAACTTTTAGTTATCGAAATCGTCCAGCCCTTCCCCTCTCGAATATCAAATGGCTGTTCCCTTAGACAATGGAAATGTCAATAAGTTGAAAAAAAACTGGGATTCATATTCGTTTGATGGTATAAATACTTTGCAATCAGAAATTGACTATTTTAATATTTTTTCATAAAAAGTACTCCAGCAAGATTATGACGGAGAATGACTGAAAGCAAATTATCATAAATCGTACGGTCAAAATATTCTTCAAAATAATTTGAATGCAAAATGAAGATTGTGCAACGAAAACTCCTCCTTTCAAAACTTAAAGTTAACTCTGCTTATCCAGAAGGGCTAATCATTCCTGAATCATAAGTGGCACCCATGTTTCTACTCAGAACAACTTAAAATAAGAGGACGAGGACGTGTTGCATGCAGGATGGCAACAAAAAATGAAACATTTATTTGTTGGTTATAAGTAATGGAGATATTCCATTCGTCACGATGAAAACTTTCAAAAATGCAATTCAACCATTATTATAATCCCTTGAATCAATGGCTTATACGAAAGCAGCTGTAACTCTTTCAAGGAAATTCTGATAAGAAACGTACGCACTTCATAATTGCTTTACTCACAAATATGTATACTTAATACTTGACAATCGGGATAAGTTATCATGTTGAAGACGATAGCTTGCAAAAATTCATTTTCGCATTAGGGAATCCAAACTTTGTGAGAAATGAAGTATATATCAAGTTCCAAAAGCCAAAACCTAACATTACCTGTATAATCCTCAAACACTACATGTACAGTACAAAAAGAGTCCAGAAAGAAGAGAAAAATCCTTTAAACATATTTTTAAAAAGAAACTAGATATCATTGAGATGGGAGCCATCTCTGTGGGCCCCGCTGTGAATAATGTGTGGTAAAAAATTTGTATCTTTATCATTGGACATGGGGTTGTCAACTGAAACCCAAGTTTATGACCTTGACCTTTGACATAGGAAGTTGTACATAAACTATGACACACCCTCTGGTGTTGGTTTATATACATGTCAAGTATAAACTTTGAAATCATAACGGTTCTCAAGATATAGAGCGGACACGATCTTTACCATAGGACATGGTGTTGTCAACTAAAACCAAAGTTTTTGACCTTGACCTTTGACCTTGGAAGTTGTACATTAACTATGACACACCCTCCGGTGTTGGTTTATATACATGTCAAGTATAAACTTTGAAATCATAACGGTTCTCAAGATATAGAGATGACACGATCTTAACCATAGGACATGGGGTTGTCAACTAAAACCAAAGTTTTTGACCTTGACCTTTGACCTACGACGTTGTACATACATTATGACACACCCTCTGGTGTTGGTTAATATACATGTCAAGTATAAACTTTGAAATCATAACGGTTCTTTAGATATAGAGCGGACACAATTTGTTACGGACGGACGGACGGACAGACTGATCACTATAGGGCGTCCGCCATTCGGCGGGGCCCTCATAAAATACATTTGATAAATAAATATGGATTACATTTAAAACTTTTGAGATTATTTCATGCTGGTATGACCAACTTATTACGCCTGCTATTTGAAAAGATCATTGACACTGATGATATTATCTATTCATGTATTTATATAAATATAAAAGTGTTAAATTATAGATTTAGACCTTTTCATACACGTATAAAAGTAAATCCATCAAGAATAAGAACACATTTTACATAGTTGTTCTCAAAATGCCGTCTTTGTATAATCATGAAGATGACTTTAACAGGAGACAAATGGAAGTAAAATTGTTCAGAGCGATTGCAGGAAGGAAATTCAAGCTGGCCAAGATATTAGTTGAAGGAGGGGTAAACGTTAATTGTAGCCTCAGAACTGGAGTAACTCCTCTTATGATGACATGTGAGCATACACTTAATGGTCCTTTTAAACGAATGAGACTAGACTTAGTAAAGGTACTTCTTCGTAACAAAGCAGATATGACAACAAAGGATAATTTTGGAAGAAGCCCTCTAATGTATGCTTATGCAAGCGAAGACAATTTAGTCGTTCGTACATTACTTGAAAATAGTTCACAAGCATGGGAATCTGGAAACTTTGAAGCCAAACGCATTCGCAAAGACAGTGTAATAAGGAGTTCCTTTATTTCTGTACATTTTGAGCATTTAAATACAAATGATATGATAGATTCATTGAAATAAATTGAGTTCTAAGTTAAGTAGAACATAGTTTACAATGAGCTACACGAATTATAGTGAGAATGATTTAATATGCAATTGACATTTATCACAGAATTCAATAATTTCTAATTAATAGCGCGAAAGGAAAATGTCGAAAAAAATCATTTTAAACACGCAATGTTTTTTTTCAAATTGAATGTACTCAAATATTTGATGTGTTGATTGAAACGTGTAAGTATTGTTCTCAATTAATATTAAAAAAAACAAGAGGCTCTGAAGAGCCTGAATCGCTCACCTCTATTTCAGAGGAGAAGATTTTTAAATGTTAGCAAACTTGATGAACAAATTGTGTAAAATTGTCTTTAAAGGGCAATAACTCCTTAAGGGGTCAATTGACAATTTTGGTCATATTAACTTTTTTGTAGATCTTACTTTGCTGAACATTATTGCTGCTTACAGTTTATATATATCTATAATAATATTCAAAATAATAACAAAAAACTGCAAAATTTTGTTAAAACTACCAACTCGGTGGCAGCAACCCAACAATGGGTTGTTCGATTCGTCTGATAATTTCAGGGCCGATAGATCTTGACCAATTACACAATTTTACGCCGTGTAAGATTTGCTCTAAAAGCTTTAGTTTTTGAGATATAAGCCAAAAACTGCATTTGACCCCTATGTTCTATTTTTAGCCATGGCGGCCATGTTTGTGGATGGATCAAAACTTCGGATACAATTTATAAACTAGATACCCTAAGGAATATTTAGTTAAAGTTTGAAGGTATTTGGCCCAGTAGTTTCAGAGGAGAAGATTTTTGAAATAGTTTACGACGACAGACGACGGACGACGACGGACGCCAAGTGATGGCATAAGCTCACATGTGGCCCTTCGGGCCCCGGTGAGCTAAAAAAATGAAACATCCGTTTGTTTTTTCATATCAGATCTTAATTCATATTTTTCTTTGGTGAAAAAAAATTGTCATGTGTTTTCCTTATTCTGTTGTAAAAAAAACAATCTCAGCAGCATTATCAAGAAAAATCATGTGTCATCATTATCAATAATATCAATTCCTTCTCATGTTGTTTGAGTTACGCACATGGTTTATTGTAGACTTAGTTAATGTATTCTAATTTTAGAAGAGAGAGAAAAGACACCTAAGAAAAGGACATTGTCCTGATAAACGAACCCTTTGGACAGTTATATTGACAATATTAATAATGCCTCGCCATGTAGTTAAGGAATAATTAAAGTTTTTGTCGATACTACTGTCTCTTTAGAAGTTTAAAATTGAGAATGGAAATGGGGAATATGTCAAAGAGACAACAACCCGACCAAAGAGCAGATAACAGCCGAAGGCCACCAATGGGTCTTCAACGCAACGAGAAAATCCCGCACCCGCAGGTGGGCCTCAGCTGGCCCCTAAATAAAAATGTGTACTAGTTCAGTGAAAATAGACGTCATACTAAACTCCGAAACATATAAATTTGTATATCATGATAATATACTTGTCATAAACTTGTAAATATTATGTAACTTAAAGCAAATTAATTCACTAGAATTAATGGAAATATAAAGCACAAGAAATTTTGTTCTTTTTCTTTCATTA